AAAAAAAAAAAAAAAAAAAAAGAAAAGAAGCATTCATTTCATTGAAAAGACCCTCCAGGTACTTGTTTCTCTAGCATAACTACCCCCTACACCTAGAAATTGGATTTATCCCTTTTGGGGCATTTTCCTGTTTGTATTGTTACTACTCTTAGGTCAAAACTAAGCTACACCTATCAAAAGGTTAAGGCTATCCCTTTTTACACAACTCCAAGCATTTCAACACATGTACCCGAAGTTCATTAACTAGGTTTTTGTTGTTTTTAGCATATACTAATTGCACAAACTAGGTTTCATTATGTAAATTTGTGTTTATATACATGTGTTCATGAGCGTGTACATGGAAACACCTGAAGTGTTTGTTGTTCCTCACACACCATCCGTCTTTTTTTTTCCTTGAGACAGAGTCTCTCACTGGCATAGAGTTCACTGGCATAGAGTATGCTCCCCTACTTACCCAGCAAGCTCCCAAGCATCTGCTTGTCTCCACCTGCCCAGCTCTGGGATTACAGGCATGCAACACCTTCCCTGGCTGTTTTCAGGTGGGTTCCAGCAACAAAACTCAGGTGCTGAGCCAAGGCAAGCAGTGTAAATAAGCACCAAGTTTGTTTTGGCTTCATCTCAGTCTCAACCCCCCCCCCTTCTCTTCTTTTCTCTTCTCTTCTCTCTACTCTCTTTCCCTCCCTCCTTCCCTCCCTCCCCCCATCTCTCTCTCTTGCAGGACTAAGAACTAGGAAGCTATGGCTGCCAGGCAAGTGCTTTACCCCTGGCTCCCAGCCCTAGCCTTTCATTACAACATTTTAATGCATGCATATAATGTACTCAGAATCATATTCCATTCACTGACCTCTCTTGTACCCACTTCCTCTCCAAGTGGTCCCCTTTCTCATCACAAACTGGGTAGTTATTGTCCATTTTATTGATGTGTTTGACTCTATCATAAAATCAGGGACTGTGTGATAAAACAGGGTTCACTACTGGTTGGATAGACTCAAAGTTAAAGGAATTCTTTCACTATCCTAAAGATACAGGTCATATGATGTCTTATGTAACTTTTCAATGCAAACTACACCACTACAAAAGCCTAACCTTTTAAGAAAATGGTAAACACATGCTATTTAATGACTTGGAATGTGATTTTATCATAGAGAATACTATTTTCAACAGGGATACTTAACAACAGAGTCAGGGCCTTGGCCTTACCTTTCATCCCTAAAAATGGGATTCCATGTGGAAATGTAGGGTTTCACTTTCTCATTGGGAAAAACAACCATTCCAGTAGATTTTCTAAAAATTAAAACGATTCTTTTAGAGGAAATGCAGTATTTATTGTGTACAGGATTTATATTTATGGATCAAGGATACAAAGCAAAACGAATGCCATTAAAATTAACCAAAATGTTGACAGTTGATATGAAGTATTATTTGCCTGGTGATGAAAATCTAGCTAAAGTTAATCAAGTAAGTTCCAGTAAATTCATAAGGAAAATACAAGACTTCTGATGCCATTAAAGTAATTATAACCTTTCAAATAACAAAGTATAATCAGTATAAATGTCTTAGCTTGGAAACAAAAATACATACATTGTGTGCCAAAAGCTGATGGATCACAAAATATGGGTAGTGGCTGTTAGTCTCCGTCCTTTGTACCCAAAGCCTGAGACTGGTACCACCACTCAGGAATGCTAATGATGAATGTCAATGAAATTATACAATGCAACTCTGCCTATCAGCAGAGTCTAAGGGAACATGTTTCTTTTGGGAGAAGATTATATAACAAAGCCAGACTGTTATGAGGCCTCCTCAAGGAGGCCAATTTTCTATCACACTACATCAACAACAAATCGTAGGGGTTAAAGTTAAATCAGTGACACTGTTAAGGAACATAACAAATTCACAGCACTTCTCACAATTCCCACACTGAGAAATAAAATCAAAGGGAAAGACAGTATTACTTCATTTACAATTTACTAGCTCTTCCAGTGTTTCAGAGAAACAGGGGTGTAAGAATAGGACAGAAAGTGGACATAGAACACAATACACAAATATCTTGATTGAATCAGCCTACTGGTGTAGCTTTTCAGGCTAAGAAGATGTCAGTCTCCATCCAGGCGCTGTTATAACTCACAAAGGTAACCTTGGTGTCCAAAAAATTAAAGAAAACATGGTTAATCGACTTGTTGCCTAAATTGCATCATCTGTATTTGCCTGCATTCTGGTCTATTCCCACTAGTGAAGCCCTCCCCCTATGCTCCCAGGTCATGTCCCAGTTAAAACATGACAGGTATCCTGGAGATTAATTCAGCCAGTAACAATTGTCCCCCACATCTGGTTTCTGGCTTAGGTCAGGTGAACTTTAACTCATTGAAATCTAGTCTACACAAAACTTATCTTTTTCCCAAGAAAACAACACTATTAGGCACTAAAGCTGTATGAATAACAATTAAGGTTTAGGAAAAACGCTAACACCAGTCAAGAGCAGGATATATTTTCCTTAACACTTGATGAATGAAAGGACATAAACGTCAAGGTTAGATTCTTTATTTCTCTTCACTCTAGGTTAAAATACGTGAGAAAGGAGACCTCTTATGACCTTTAGGTTGAGAAGTGTAAGTGAACTCTTAAATCCAGTAATGTTCTTTTATTGCACAAATGTTTGAAAAGGCAACCAGAGATAAGCTACATAAATACTTTCAGACCACCCTTTCTGATAGAAACCTGACCTGCCTAAACAGTGCTTACACACCAAAAGGAAGATTTAAATAAGCTACTGGAGAAGACCTTGGGAAACTTAATTCATAATTAATATATAAATATTGATACCACATAAATATCAACATAAACAGCATTAAGAACCAAAAATGAACATACCTTAAAATTGAGGAGATATAAGCCCGTGTGTATACTGATTATACTATCTCATACTGATTATTTGTTATGGCACGAGAGAGGCAGTAGGCGAGAAAGATTCCAATTAGCTGGAGAGAAAATATGAACAAAATTACTCATTTATACACAGAGACTTGCAGATTTGTAGAAGCGGAAGAGCTTGGGATATGGACGCATTCTCATTTTATTTGCAATTCACCAGTAATTTCCTTCCTTGAATTGTCTTGATTATATTAGCTACTTAGGCAGTGCCAAGGTCACATTCAAAGATTCTAAAAAGCCTCACTCACTAACAATGACCCAGAACTTCACAAAGAACAGTAAGGAAAAAATCAGGAGTCCTGGGATTTAGAGAAGCCCTCAACTATAAAAAAGAAAATAATGGTACTGTATAGAATAAGCATTTTATCAAGTAAAATCCCAACTGATGTGCACAAGTCATTTTTTGGATGCATCTGTGTTGTTCAATACAACAGACATTAGCCTTGTGTGGCTGTTGAGGACTTAAATCTAGTTAGAATGACTGGGGTTTTAATTTTGTCTAATAATTAGAATGAAGGAGGCTAATGGCTGTTATATATTGGTGCAGATTTAGGTGGTAAGACATGCACCTTGATAAATATATTAGGACTATCCTTGCATTGGTCTTACTTCTATAATGCTAAATGTGTAAAGAAGAAAAAAGCTTTAAAAAAATCATTCCCAATCACACCACCGAACTTTTCATGCTGGAGTGATCAGCACAACTCGAGAAGAAATTCAATCTATAAAATAACAAAATAGAGGAAATAGAGGCTTGTATGATCTATAAATAACGCAGCAGGCCGCTGCAGTCCAGGAAAGGAAAACTTTTAATAAAGTTTTAGAACTTTGACTGCTCAGAGTGAAAAGAGTCCTATCAGTTCATGTTTTGATCACCTAGGAGGGTATTGTGTCTTCCCACTGTTAACCACTTTCAGAAAATATGAACTGGGTTTGGGATGTGGCTCAGTGGTAGATTGCTTGCATCTATTCATAAGGCTCTTAGTTCAAGACATACGTATGTATGTATGCCATGTGCTTATTGCTAGGATTGAATTCTTGGTCTTTTATAGATTCAAAGCATGATTGGCTATGACAATGTGAATTAAAATTTAGAGGTTTGTTTTTGTTTTGGTTTTGGTTTTTGGGGATTTTCAAGACAAGGTTTCCTGTGCAGTCCTGGCTGTCCTGGAACTTGCTTGATAGACCAGGCTGAGCTTGAACTTGGAGATCCACCTGTGTCAGCCTCTGGAGTGCTGGGATTAATGACATGTGCCACTACTATCCAGCTAAATTTACAGTTATTTGTTGTTGTGTAAAATGCAAGATTCAGGAAATGAAAGAAATGAGTCAATGATAAACAAAATCAGTAATATACATCCAACGTTAAGTCCCATGGTTTCACCATAAGAAAACTCAGTCTATGATGAGTTAACTGACTGCTTTGTGAAACCTAAGACTCTTCTTACATTGTCTTCACTATCCAGTCCCTTGAAGTAAAACCTTCATCATGTCTCAAAAGTGAAACCCAGCTGGGTATGGTGGCATATGTCTTTAATGGCATCACTTGAGTGACAGAGGCAGGTAGATCCTCTGATCTTCTTGAGTTCTAGGACAGCCTGGTCTACATTCTGAGTTCCAGGCCAAAAACAAAACAAAACTTCTCTTATACCTACACGAATAAGACATTTCCCAAAGAACAAAGAAAAACCTACCTGAAAGCAAGCAACTCCAAAAGAAATTCCAGCAACGACTCCCATTTCTGACTCAATAGTTGTCATTACCTTTATGAAACAACCCTAATGGGAGAGGAAAAAAAAAAGACATTAAGTACAAATCAAGAAAGCTGTGCTTTTCTTCCTGGTAAGCACTACTTTGATCATTCAACTGTCCACAGAAGATGGTTTTGAGCTACTGTTTTTAGCCTTTCACTATCATGTCACTGAAATCTAGTCTGTCTCACCTGTCCTCAGTCTCAACCAGTTCCACCTTTTGGATCTCGCATTGGACAGTCATTTGCTAGTTTTATGAAATGAAGTACCAGCTTCCCTGAAAGCTTCTGATTTTGTATATTTGTTCGAGTAAAACATGAGTCCATTTTGCATTCCATTAAATCTTCAAATACTGCCAAATAAAAAGTCTAAAAGGACCCTTACCTCTTCGTTGACTTTATCTGCATCTCTTTGTGGAGAACAGCCCTCCAGTTTACAGCAGCTCTTGGGAAATCCTGTTTCGGAGTAATAGTTTGTACCTTTCCAATCTCTGTAATTGGTGACACCGCAACAATGCAACTGAGAAAGAAATGTAAAAAGCATTGTGTCATATGACTGGTTTGCAGCCAACCATTTAGCCTAACACCATCTTCTACTGTAATATGTGCCCAAAACAATATGTACTATACTCAGTGATACCTCTTCTTGATTTATTCAAGACTGGCACTTGATTCTAACAATAAGCATGGGTTTTAAACAGTCTTTACAGCCCTGTCGTAGTTGGCCCTAACAGTATTTGTCTATGATGTCAATGGAAAAGAGAATAAGAACACATGCTGGTATCGTCCCACACTGCCTTTCCACACAAGTGGGACACACCCAGCAGCCTATTACTCAGAGGCGATAAGGAAATGTGTTTCCCTCTTGAAAACACACCACCTCTAACCACTTACCGTACTTTGGATCTTGTCTACAGCTTCACTTCTATAGTCTCTTGTGGAGTTGTACTCCTTCAGAGCGTTTTCATAGTTACTTTTAAAGCTGTTCTTAATCTGGATCCGGAAAAAAACAAAAACAAAAAGCAAATGCCAGTAAACAAATATTCTAGAAAATACTTTGGGTTTCTATATCAACTAAGAAATTCTCATGTCTGGCCAATCATTCAATCTTCAACATGTGGTAATTAACTTCCACAGTCTGATTATGGCTACCAAGGAATATAATTTGGGCTGAAAGGCCTATCAAGGAAAATATTACAATATAATACCTACAAGTTCAAGGTGCTATGAGAGCATGTACCTATCCAAAGGCTACTATGCACTGCCTTTCCACCCTTCAGCCTCAATCTTCCTCCACAAACAAGTCGGATGCCTACAGAATGAACCTGCACTAATAGTTCAAGTAGTCCTTGAATACACCTTCCCTACTTCCCTTCTCAGCAGTGCTGTGTTTACTTGATTTTAATATATGAATATTAAGCCTTTGATGATTTGCATTAATTACATCTTTTCAAAATGTGACTTATAGGAAGGTATTAATTTTCTGCCATAAACTGTGTATTTTACTTTCCTATTAGTAAAGCTATAAAACTCCGCCTTAATAAGTGCTTATACACCAAATTACAACTAGAAATTAGTGTAATTTTGATATCATTTTCTCTTAGTAATTATCATCCTACCAATTTTTATGAGAAAGCCACTCTTGTCAGCTGCAGTTGAAAGGCTTAGCTTGAAATACAGCTTCAAATGGTTTTTGTAAAATATTGAAAGCTGTCAGACAGGGCTACTTGTTGAATCTATCTAAGACAAAAGGATAAATTTTAACATTATTATTGTCTAATTCAGGCTTACCTCATGTCTGAAAACAAATCCTACAATGGCAGCGACTAGTTCGACCAAAAAAATGAGTGTCAGAAACATCGCATACTGTGGGGTAAAAAGTTTTTAAAAAGTTCACGTTAGTACAAACAAGACTCAGACAAAAGACTCAGATATCACAGAGGAAAAGAGGTAGGTGGCTGGAATTCTGAGCAATCAATTGAACATATTTTTATTAAAAAGGGCAGGGAAGGCAGTATCAAAAGGTCTATTTAAATATGGAAGCTGGCAGTGGAGCTGGTAGTTTGGTTTTTTGTTTATTTGTTTGTTTGTTTTCCATAAAGAGTGGAAAAAGTGTAAACAGCTAAGGCCAGTTCTGAGAAACAAAAATGTAATAGAATATATAAGAATTTTCTAGGAAACCAAGAGCAGTCTAAAGAAATCAAGGACTCACTCACCAGTTTCAGCATCCAGGCAGAGGCTCGACAGGTAGCAAAACAACCAAAGGTGCCCAAGAGAATAATGACAGTGCCTGTGCCAATGAGCACGAAAGGCACATTGGTGGCCTTCTCATTTAAGAGGGAAAAATAATTTTCCAGGCCCACCTTGCCCCAAATGCCAACGGCAAGAAGGATAACACCAGTGATCTACGTAAGAAATCAGAGAAAGAAACAATCAGACACCATACAAGCTTGAATCCTCAAACAATTAATCCAGGAAGCGTCTAAGAAACAATGCATTTGAGAATTGATTAACAGTCCAGTTGCCACAGCACGGTGGCTAGGATATGGGGGGATGGGGTGGGTAAATATGGAAGAGGTAGGAAAGGGTTCTGCAAATAAAGACGGATTGTGGACAAAGCATCATCTCAAAACTGCATAAATCCATCTGTTTCATTGTGTAAAATGCATTTCCCACGGCATACGTGTCTAGAAATCAAAATTTTCCTAGAGCAATTGACTCCAGTCGGAGGAAGAAAACCATCTTGTAAGAGGGGAGGGTTAAAAGCGTTTCTGGATTCCAGAAACTTCTCGAATCCCCCATCCCCAATTTTGGGATGGACATAGGATACAAGGGGATGGTACACAAAAGAAAACCCAAGGAGAGACTGGCAGGAATAGATTCACACCATACTTACCTGTGAAAAACTCCCCTCTTATGAAGCAGTGAAAAGAGAGATACTATTATGCAAAAGACCCCTCAAAGGAAAGGTTAAGGGACACCTCGTGTGCTCTAGGGGCCTTACCCCTTTCTTCATCTCCCGCTCCGACCTCGATCTACTGAGACATCTGGGTCCTACTTCAACCAGTCATCTCACATCAAGATCCCAGCGCCAACGCAGTGCCGCCGACCCCGGTTCCAATCTCGGAGATCCCGCCACTGCGGCCTAGGCCAACTCGTGGCCAAGGCTGGGGTCTCCGGAACCACAGCCGCCCAAAGCTCATCCCACTCCAGACCTGAGGTTCTCTGCTCCGAGTCACACCCACCACCTAAACCAGAGTTCCCCAGCCGTTCCCGTGTCTCACCCAAAAGATGAAAGTGTAGATCAAGAGAACGCTTTTGAAACAAGTAATGACCGGCTTAGTCTGCAGCCTCCGAGATGGGGACGCCATGACTACCCCGAGACCCTGCGCCTCTGCAGCAGGCGATCGGGCGATCGGCTCGAGTCAGCCAGGCGCGAAAGCGCCCGAGTTTCCCCGGAAAATGCCGAAAACTTACGAGTATCTGCTACTGAGAAGAACCGGAAACAGGAGCCGATTTTCTAGAGGGTCATTCTTAGGAGGCTGTCTGGAAAGTAGAGACAACTTCGGAGCGCCCCCTGCTGATCGTTACTGAAAACTAAAGGATATAGTGGCGCTTGCTTCGGTATGGTTTTTTTTTTTCTTTTTGTTGGTGGTAGTTTTTTGTTATTGTTGCTCCTCTATGGAATCTTTCTCATCTCCCACCCACCCCTCTCTTCCGAGTCTTTTTTACTTCATTGTAAGTTGTCTATCACTGCCCGCAGTGCTGGAAGGTCCAGCCTTCCAGGTCCCTAGTGCCCTAAAAGAAAAGGATAAAATCAAAAATTAGATTGCCCTCCACTTGAATACAATCTTTGCTTCTCATGAGATCAACAGCATAAGGATATTTTCTTCTTCTAATCAGATTCACAGTACTTATATAAGATGTACATAAATACAAATGAATTAATGAGGTGGTGCAGAGATGGTTAAGTGTGGGGTGTTGCTACAGGGTTAGAAGGCAATATCTACCTCATATTCAATACAGACTTTACAGACAGTTTATGTATTCATGAAATACAAGGAGATCCCCATTTTTTTACTTGAAGCTTTGCTTGAAACATATGCTACTACAGAAGCAGAGGACAAGAAAGTTCCATTGACTTGACTATACAGAGCTTTCCTGTGGTTTAAATATTGACCTAGGACCAGTTCCTATAACAACCAGACATCTGCAGTCCAAAAAAACAACATTTGGAAAATGAGTTACTTCATTGCCAGGCTTTATACTAAAGTTTATCCCAAAAGTACAAAGGTGCAACACAAAAAATATATGGAAACGGAGTGTCTCTTTTTCTCTTTCTCTCATCTCTCTGTGTGTGCACACATATGTGCTCTGGGGAGAACATACTCCCATAAATACTCTGAGGTAAAGTCATCAAGAAACAGGCATTCAGCTTTTAGAATATATTTACCATAGCTACAGCCAGGCAGATGGAGCAATGAAGCTCTAAGTATATGCAAAGCTTCCTTCTGTGGCTGACCCTAATCTGAGGATTCCTGTAAACAACATCCATCAAGGGAAGCCTTGCTAACTCCTTGTCATCCTAAACAGAAAGTTTCCTCTGAAGTTTAGATTTGTTCCACAGCTTTGAAATCATTTTCATTGTAAGCCTAAGAGCAATGTGATATTTATGTGGCTGAAGAAAAAAAAAAACAGCTAAAACTAAAAGGCACATCTTATTTCCAAGAATGTGTTGACTTTCCTTCTCTCCCTTCCTCTGCCACTCACAACACTGCTTTGTTTGAAGGGCAGTCAGTGCCAAGCTAAACCGAAAGCCGACATGGAAATTAATATTCCTATGGCCACAACACCTTGTACTACTCCTGCCTTGCTGGGCCAGCTTTCCCCCTGCCGTGCCAACAAATCCAAAAGTTCAGTTTAGTTAAAATGTAGGCTGGGGTCTGGATCCCAAACCAAACCAAAAGGACAGTTAATCCCGTCTAAAACAGCTTCACATGTTTCTCTGGGCCATAAGATGAGTTTCTTCTTTCAAGAATTACTAGTGACTGCAATGCTGAGCACCAAGTACCAACCCCTGCTGCTAAGCCCTTGATACCTCTTACCTCATACCTACATCACAAAAGTCCTATTATGAGCTCAGATCTAGTACCCTCCTCATTTTACAGATGGACAACCAGGCTCAAAGAGCCTGAGTACCTTGCCTAAGACTAAGCCCAGCATACCTCTTTCCTGCATCAGACACGGGATACTCTTAGCAGTGAGACATGACTAATATAAAAACAAACAGCTATCTTGACTCGAATGGAGCTAAGATTGTTGCTGCTTAGACTCTGAATCACAAATGGGGGCTCTGCAGAGTCCCTGAAGGGCCTGCTGCCACTAGTTCCTCCTTGTTCTTGGGGAGGAGAACAGTTCAGTTTTGCTTTCGCCTTTGCTCCCACAGTCCAATCACCCAGGTAGTGACACTGTCTCTGAGTGGGGGGGGGCAGAGGATCCAATCTTTTTTGTTTTTCTTTTTCTAGCTCAATTAGTTATTTTCTCCACATTTTGGGCAACAATACACTTGAAGCCAAAAAAATGTAAGAAAATATTTTCCTTAAATATTTTGCTACTTTGTTACATTCAATCTTTAGTGGGGGATTTGTGTCTCTTTCCTATCAAATTCCTTTAACTTTTCAAGATTAGGATTAAGTGATTTTCTTTGGCACACATCAGGTATGGGAAGCATCAGCAACAAGAGCTCGCTCTTAAGTCAGATCTCTTCTGAGGCGCTCCAATCCCCAGCCCCCAAGCTCTAATAAACCCTCATTCCCCGTTGCCTTGCCAACATGAATTGTCTATTCCACATTAAGCCAATAAGATTATCCTCTGAACAAGGCTTGTTTCCTGTTCCCTGCCAACCTTTAAAAATGAAAGCTATTTCCTGTTCTCAAAGTCCCCCATCACCGCATCCCACTGACAATGTTCTCCCTCCCACATCCCAGCCCTCTAACATTAGTTAGTACTTGTAGTCTGACCACACTCTGATATTAATTTAGACTGTTAGTCACTTACTGTAGTACCTACTCACCTACTCTACATCCTGCTACCTAGATGTCCAGAAACTACAGAAGAGCCTGTGGGACAGGGCCAGTGCACCTCCTTTTAAACCCTCTGAGCACAATGCTGCATTGATGACCTCACCCAGTTTTCAGCCAATCCCTGTTCAGCACATGGTTCAGTAAGATCATGGCTGGTCTAGAAGTAACAGCATATTATTTGCTCAAGGACTATTCAACTTAAATTTGTTTTTTTTTTTTAAAAAAGTCTAGATCATCCTAATATTTCACTGTCACAAACAGGGAAATTAATTTGAGTGGCTATATACTGGCTTCAGGAATTCCTATTCTGTCTTTGAAACCAGAAAAAGCCAGAGTACATTTGACCATTTGTTCACATAACCTTAGCATTTTACTTCCGTATCCCTTTTCTTACATGCCCCCACTTTCATTTGGCTAAATACATAGGATAAAATTAAAAAGCATCTCCCAGTTATTTTCTTAACATTTAAAATAGGATGTTACACCATCTTACACATTACAACTTCATCAATTGTTCAACAGTGTTAAAACTTACTTTCCCAAATGGTTATATCCTTTTATCCCTTATTAGCTCTTCGAAGTTCTTACTATTTCTTCTTTAGTTATCTGTTCTATGTCTATTTTTTCTATTCACTTGTTTCTTATTGAGACAAGGTCCAGTATGTAGCCCTGGTTGGCCTGCTATACAGACCAAAAAGCCTTCAAACTAGTAGAGATCTGCCTGTCTCTGCCTTTTGAGTGCTGGGATCAATGGCGTGTATCACCATGCCTGGCTTTATTTATTTTTACTTGTGTGAGGGTTTAGCCCGCATATCATGTACCTCCTTGAGCTTCATTGATATCACAAGTAACTTTATTTAATATTTTAAAGAGTACAACCCTTATTGAATGCTTAGTGGCTTAATATTAACATTCATAAGTTGAAAATGATGTCGGACTTTAATAAATTTAGTATGTATTTTGTCTGTATTCTCAGCTTATCTTTCTAACCGAACACAAAGAGAAGTGGGTTTTGTTTAAGTGTTCACTCCAAAATATCTAGCATAGTATTTTCCACACAAAGTCAGTGCTGCAGACATGTGTGTGTGTGTGGGGGGGTGTATTTTTAACCCAGGTGTTCTGGATAAGGCATAATACTCATCCTTGTGCTTCATGGGAATGATATCCCCTCTAATATGCTCTTATATTCATGAGACCTTCTGGAACATCCTCATCCTAGTCTGTGCCAAGCTCTCTGTTGGGTGCTGGGAATATAAAGAAGAGTGGAGATAAGAACCTGGCCCACTAGGCCCTCACAGTCTATTAGAGACCAGACATAAGTCAAGAACAATGGCAGTGACTGTGATGAGTATAAAATTATTGAGATGTATGCAAATTATGCTGTGGGAGGACAAAGACGGAAAGTAAACTCCCTCTGACTGGCTGAGCTGGAGCTTCTCAGAGGGCCAAGAATAGAGGGAGAGATTTTATGTGTGCAAAATCATAGACGTGTTAATGGAAGGGATCAAAACTCAGTGTGTTGGGGATGGGATGAGTAATGAGATGAACTCTCCATACTAGGCTGAAGACAGATGTGGACTTGTTTATAGAGGGACAGTATGGCATGTTAGGTTATCCTGGGGACTCAGACAGTTCCCTATGCCAAGTCAGAGGCAGAGCCAGCGCTAGTGAAGAAGTTATCTTAGAAAGCAAACAATCTGCTTAAAATTTATTATTATTATTCCTTCCCCCACCCCTCAATACACAGACATACACAGAGAGAGAGAGAGACAGACAGAGACAGAGACACAGACAGAGACAGAGAGAGAGAGAGGGAGAGAGAGACAGAGAGACAGAGAGACAGAGAGGGAGAGAGGGAGAGAGAGACAGAGGTTATATATTCACTTTTTTCTAGTCATGACTTTAGATCTGATCCTAACCTACGTATTCAACTTTCTTTAATGTGACTCCCCTGAACCATCCTACTCATCAACCCTCAATAGCCTAAGAGTGGACCTCAGTTTATATCATTTTCTTTGCCTGAGAATACACCAAAGTCTCTTACCATTCCTCCCTCCCCACTTCTGGTCTCCACCTAGAGTCCACAGAAACTACACTATAGTTTTTGGTACTTTATTGCTATTGGAGCTGTATTGTTTTCCAATTGTCTGAACCATCCTTCCCTCTGAAACTCACATAAACTCTCGGGGAACTGGATGCAAGTCCTATAAGATTAAAGAAACCACATTCCTTGCTCAACATCATTTCGTTGATGCTTATCTTATTTGATCTGAGCAACAAAAATTCCCTAAGCACATTCGGTGGTCATTAAATACATTTTTCTTTGGTGTTATTGTTTTATTTTTGTTTCACTGAAGTTTTTCAAGTGTCTAGAGAAATATGTTCCACATAATAGATGCTTGATATATATTTGTTGAATTAATTATAAATGAATATCAAGATATCACGGATTTTATCTGTTTTATTCGCCGTTCTGCCCACCACTCTTTCACATTTTAGTAAATATTTATTTATTGTTTATATACAAATTTACTAAATAAATAAATCATAAATAATTTATAAGGTAATATTTTATTAAATAATGAGGCAATATTATGCCTTTTATTTTTTGATACTGTGCCACACTTTTGAACCCTTGTTAGATATTCAATACATATATGTAACTGGTGGTTTGGAAATGAAATCTGTTTTCATGCTTACTATTGAACTTTGTAAAATTATAGACCCAATTCTTCTCTTGAAGCTCAAGAAGCTGTTACCAATGTACTTACATACATGGAGCAAAAAAAAAATTTTTTTTCTACAACTACTGATTTTTTTTCTTTTGAAAAAGTATAGATTCTTAGTGAGGCGTAGTGGCACACAATATAATCCCAGCACTTAAGAGGCAGAGGCAGGCAGATCTCTGAGTTCAAGGCCAACCTGGTGTATATAGTGAGTTCCAGGACAGACAGGGCTACACAGAGAAACCTTGTCTTGAAAAAAAAATCAAACAAACAACAACAAAAACCTGATTCTTTCACAATTGCACACAGATCTTAAAAATGTGTTTTGCTACACACAAAGATTATTAACATACAACCTACTGACCCCATTTAATGTTGGTCATGTGCATACATTTGGTGCTGAACACTTAGGACTGAATAAGAGGTTTCTGCATTTGAGAGGAAGTTGCAAGGGTAGGGAAGGATCACTGGAGAGGGGAGGGAGGGGTGAATTATGTAAACACAGAACTCTTGTGTGAAATTTTCAAAAAGAAAACTAATTTTTTTTTAAAGGAAAGGGGTGTGTTTTGATCCTATTCCTCTCGTATCACCTCATCTACCCCCCACTCCCAACACACCAAATTCCTTTCTGTTCTCAACAAGTCCCCACTCTACTTTCCTGTCTTTTTTGTGAATGGCTGCATTTAATTAGGGTCGCCTGCATGAGCATGAGTGGGAAGCTATTTACGAGTTAGAGCAACTTACCAGTGGCTGCAACACAAAAGAATATGACTTCGTCTCCCTCTTCGGGATGTGTGGTGGGTAGATGGGACCTAACAACTCCCTTCCCTGTCTACAATGGGATGTCAATGGACCCACTCTCATGCAGGTCTTGTGTACATACCCACTGCTGCTGTGAATTCATGAGTAAAACAAAGATGTCACAGCCAAAAGATAGTATTTCTCAGAAACCGTTGATTTTTCTTTTAAAGACATAATCTAACCTATCTGTCCCAGACCATCCTGCATTATACTCGGTAGTTTAGGCTAATCTGGAACTCAGAATTCCCCTGTGTCAGACTCCTAAGTGCTGGAATATTAGGCCTATAGCACCAGACCCACCTAAACTGACTTTTCAAGAGATAGAAATGTTAGCTATGAGTAGGTAAAGGGTATAAGATAGTCTACACTATGTAAGAGTAATGTTATTACCAGACAAAAAGACAAAGAAAGCTTGTTCCTCATGATGAATAACCCTCCATCCAAGACCACTGGAAAACAGCTTAGCATTAGATATCACCTTGCCATGAACAGATTATTTAGATTTATTTAAAGAGCCTTTCAGAAAAGCCTCCTCAGGTATACTTTCTTTCCATTCATTGCATGGGAAATTAATCTTAATTCTTCAGGCAAGTACTTGTTAAGATAGGGGTATGCTTCCATGGCAGAATGCTCACATGGTATGCAAAGATCTCCAGGTTTGATGCCCTACACCTTACACATACACATGCATGACTTTTTATTTTTTTGGTAAAACTTATTAGAAAGTCATGACCAAACAGAGAAAAAAAAAAGTTGGGTGGGTAGAAGTGTGGATAGGATCTGAAAGGAACTGAAAGAGGGGAAAATATGATCATGATGTATTATATGAAAAAACATTCTAAAAGATCCAAAACAAAAACTTAAATCATTAATGGGAAGGTTTCCAAGTGTGTCTGAGCCTGTATCGTACACGTGACAGAGCAATTGTGAATTTGAGAGGAAAAAAAAAGAAGCATAGGAAAAATCTAGGGAAAGCTAAAGCCAGCTACATGTGTTCCCTCTCTGGAGCTGGTGAAATTCCCTTTCTTTCAATCCTGATGTCATGCTGAGTCATAAAAAGTAGTGTTCCTCAGAACACATCTCTGGAAGTCCTGTACTAGTCATCACTCCACTCAGAGCTTGAGATCAGTGCCGGTCACACTTCCCCTCTTCTGTAGCAGAGGACACCAGCTCCTCTAATCCTCCTGCTTCTCCACCTCTGCCCCCCTCTAAACTCTTTTCTTGGGGAGTAACAACTATAGCTTTGAGGATAATATAGCTTTAAGACGACTTTTGGCAAATGGAAATGTCCTAACATCTGGGCAGTGTTACCAGAATCCCGGAGGCCCTGACAGACCAGGAGCCACTGGTTCTAGGAATGTTAAAGTAGAAGGGCTTTTTCCCCCCCTCCGGACTGATGAGAGGAGCAGAGAGCAGGGAGAAAGAGGAGAAATGAATGAGACCACAAAACTCATAAAATCAAAAGCAGGTAAGTATATTGCACTTAATCCCTCAAACTGAACTGCCCCATTTCACAGCTGTGGAGAGGTCAAAAGACTCGGGACTTAGATGATAGAGCTGGAGGTGGGGGGTGGGGGGAAGAAGTTTTTTTTTTTAATGAAATTGGATCATATGTTGTTTTCATTTGTGCTGGCTGCAGATGCTTGTTCCTGCTCTTTTCTCAGCTTCCAGTAGAAGGATGGCTCCCTCCGGTGAGTCAAATTTTTCAGTCTGAGCTTGGGGAGGAGGTGGGCAGGAGAGAAGTCACAGGCTCAAAAAGAGTATGGGGGCTGACCCAGGAAAACCTTTATTCCACTGCAAAGGCGTTGATTTGAGGCTGGATATGGGAGAAGGGTCATCGATGAGCTCATTCCCCTGGCTCGTTTTAAAATCTCTTTCTGTTACCGCTTGGTGCTTTAGTTCATCCATTTCCTTTATCTCCATCAGAGTTTCTTTTCATGTTAGCATCTGTACTATGGCTTTCTACTTTTTTAACCCTCATTCCTCATTCTCACTTCTCCCCCCCGCCACCCCTCCTACTTTATAGACACTCTAGATCTAAAATCAAGAAGTAATGACTTGGAAAATGAATTTTTTTACTTTATCCGATAGCCCTTTAAGGACTCTGCCCAGAACCTGCCATCCTTTTTTTCTTTTCTTTTTTTCTTTTTAATGTTTCCATGTCTGAGACTGACTCCTTCTCTGAGCATGGCATTGCATGGGAAACATGTGGATGAATGGATGCTTGCTGAAAGATCCAGTAGCTATTGTGCATTGATGGGCAGCAAGTTGTAGCAATGCTATTTAAGGTGTGTTTGTCCAGTGGCACCACAGAATTCTCTCATCTCATTGCTGTGAAGATTTGTCCAGAAAGGAAAATGGGCTCATAGGTGGGTCCTCTTCAACCTCTCTGTCTTCCTCCTTAGCTCAGTAGGGCAAAGCTGGGGGGGGGGGGGGTAGGCTGGACTTAAAAGCTAGAAATAACTATCAAACCACTAGGCTTCAAAACCCAGAGCTAAGAAGAGAGCAGGGCTCTATAGTCACTGCTTGTGAGGCTAGAGAAGGCAAACACCCTGTCTTGTCTAATATAAAGTTAGTAATAATAATGTCAAAACACTGAGTTTTCCCTCTGTGGCAGGCAACAATGTACATACTATTTTCTTGTTGTATAGGTAAAGAACAAAAGGCCTAGAGAAGTTACCTAATTTGCTGATTTGTCACAGCATATCCAGATCTGTCTCACTCTAGTGCTGAAGGTCTTAGGCCATATATGTTAATGCTTCTCCACTCGTGGTTAAGAAATACTGAGTGGACACAATCCCTAAGTAGCAGCCTTTGGATTCCCAGATTCCCTTCTAGTTCTATGTGACTTTATGTTAGTATTTTCCTGGTCTTAGAACTTCATTCAGTGTCCCTCCCTGTGACTTGGACCATGCAATATTTGCACTTGATGGCCCCAGAGTACATTGAGGATTAGTTGCCTAATACCCTCCTCTTCCTGCTGGGAGAAAAGGGGACCATAAATCCAAAGAAGTCTTATTATGCTTTGAAGCAGGAAAGGTTTATGGTCCAGATAACACAACTGGCATTGATGAATGCTAAAATCTTCTTCCTCACAGATCCCATATGCCTGCTTCCTCTCACTTTTGGCAGTTCATAGCTGGTTCTGCTCTGAAAGTCATTTCCCCTTATCCTGGTACTTCTGGCCACATAGCCCTAGCCTTGTCTTCTGAAGCTTCCTTGTCAAGGATGATGACTGGTCCACTGACTCAAAGAGGCGCTCTCTCACTGCTGCTCCTCCTAATGCCAGCAGTGACACCAACATGGTATGCAGGTAAGTTCTGTGAGCTGTTGTCCATTCCTTCCACGGAGGTCAAGAACAATACCAAGATGTAGAAGAGGGAAGAATGAGACGACAATGAGAGATCCTTAACTTAGGCCCAGAGAAAAACTGAGAGGTGGCAATGAACATGACCGAATATTAGAAGGGGCTGCCAGTTGAGGCCCATGAGGCATCTTAGCAAGAGCTACTTGATAATAGACTGAAACACACAAGTGAAAGAGGGAGACAGCATGGCCTTTGAGGCGAGGCTTTCTAGTTTCTTTCTTGTTTTTTTTTTTTTCAGTTGCCCTTTTCACTTAACTTCCAACAACAGTGGGGATTTTAGGTTTGACTGTATATTAGGTTGGTTTGTTACTTGTTTGCTTTCTTCACATGGGATTGAATTGAAGAGTCTGACAAATGCTACCCAAGTTTTCTGCTGCCAAACTCTATCCACAGTCCACTGAAAACTCTTTAGAAGATGTATTTTTTAATAAACCAAAGCTTTATTAATATTAATTCTTTCCTGAGTCAAATATCCTTGTGGAGACTACAAAATAGGACTCAGACCATGTATCTCTTTTAGAAAAAAATTAGGGAGACAGGCAGTCTACTAAGAGGGAACAAGAATTCACCAGACCGCCCCCCCCCCTTTCTTTCTCTCTTCCAACCAGGGTTTATCTACACAATTTGTATAGCTGGGTTTTTCTTTGTTGTTGTTGTTTGTTTTGTTTTGTTTTTGGCCAACAGGGTCAATGACAATACAGATTACATTCTTTGAATTAGGAATCTTCCAGTCTCTTCTGGCTTATTCCTTATTTCAGAAAGGATGTAGCTTTCTGGATTCTTGAATGTTTCATGCCTCACCCCCTGGAAGACAGAGCAAGCTGACAAGAGTGGACTAAGGAGGAGAGGCGGATAGAATGCAATGGGGGGACAAGGAAAGGATACTGAATCAATCACCCACCATACAGAGGTGTTTGATTGGGTTCCAGTGGCATTTCAAGTGCTAAGAATATTCTGTGGGCTGCAGTGTCTGCCCTCATAAGGGCTGGAGAGAGTGGGGGAACGAGACAGTCCCAACCAATGGGGTTAGGAAAATATCCAGAGATGAGTAAATAACAAACTGCAACCACCACAGCCACAGTCATTGCAGCTAAAATTTTCCACATACCCCCAGCTCCTGGTAGAGGCCTTTGGCAGCAGCTCTGTTTGTCTGGAACAGCTGCATCCAGCTTTCAAACAAGTATGCAAGCTTCTTCCCCTCTTTGGCTTAACCTGGCTTTGTAGGGGGTAAAACACAAGGGCTGACATTCAGCTGAAGAAATTCAAATTAAGCCCTTGGCAGAGCTCACACCGTTTGGGGTTAAAAGAGCTCAAGTCTTCTGGAGAGAAATCTGCAGCTGTGCTCCCCAAACACCAGCTAGCTTCAATTCAAGTACAGAAGACCAAAATCTACTCAAAAGACCACAGAACTAAGGGAGTGGCGATCGAGGTTCAAACCCCAGTTTTGAACACCTGTATGAAACGCATTAACGCCAGAGATGTTTCTCAGACAAGGCATTAAAACTTCGTGTGAGGTTCTATCTGGCACTCCCCAGTTTTACATCTATTACCCCCAGTCGGCTTGGGAGGAACCCAGGCTGATAAGGTCGCTGGCAGCCCTGCAAGCCTTCTTAGAAGGTTACATGATGGGAGATATTTGGAGTTTTCATGATGTTGCCCTTCGGTGCTAGTTCCCCCTGGGTTTGTGTCCATTTGCCCATTCATTCCTTTGTTCATTCAACAATTAAGTGTTAAACATTGCTTATACCTCAAGGACTGTTTTGTGCTTTGTTTGCCTTTTTTCTAAATGGGATTGGCACAAAGAAAACAGCTAAGTGTGGACTCCGGGCAAGTGAGAAAGTGTGTCCAGGAATAATCAACAGAGAGTGGGTAAATGTTAGGGAGTATACGTGAAGCTGAGAGGGTTAAAAATGTGTACTGGAATAGCTGCATATTTTAGGGACTCACACTGTATTTGTCATCAGAAGGCAGGCATTAATGTGAGTCTTAACATCATCTTCAATTACCAAATATCTTTCCAACCATACATCCACCAAGGTCTGGGCTTAAAGGGTTCCACTTGGCTGTGGAATTTGAAGGAACCCAGTAACAGACCACATGGTAAAAGAACCACTGATTGGTGCAAAGGAACAGAGAATTGTAGCTCAGGAATGAGACAGAGGCTGTGTCCTTCTTTCCTATACCCCACTTCAGTATCCCAACATATGCATAAAATATTCAAAAGTAGGCAACTAGGCAACTTGAGAAAGTTTAAGTGGTTAAGTAGCCCAAGCCCATTCCTGGTACAAAAGAAACCTAGCACTGGTTTAGCTACCTCTGCACTCTGGTGGAGACTATAATTATGTGATTGAGTCTTCCCCCTCAGTTTTCCCACATCCCCTGTAATTCTGGAATGGTATAAAATGCACGGTGGTCTACGGTCTCCTCACCCCACCCTATTGCCGCAGGGAAAAAAATGCTAGATTGCCAAGACAGATTCTGGTTCTTTATCCCTTCTGGACATAGTTAAAACACTGCCTCTATTACCATTTGAATTTTAGTATCTGAGTCCATAGGATTCGAACAGATCTGGGCTGGGAGGTCTACTCTGCAATGTATTATCTAGGAGGCTTTGGGCAACTCCTATTCCTCTGAGTCAGCTTCTGTGTCTCTATGTAGGAGAGTATTAATGCGGTGTACCCAGTTGAGATGGTATAGAAACATAATGAGCTAGCATATGCTGTACAGATTAAGAGCTAAGTTGTCATTGTCATTACTTTATCCAGACATAGGCCTGTGACACCCTTCTTTTTCTTCTGGTGAACAGCTGTTTGTTCCCTGATGAGCATTTCTTCACAAGCTAGCTCTGCAATAAGAATGGGGAGACCCAATACTTTAAGGAACCAAGCACATCTGGTCCCCTGTTTACAGGAGCTGTGAGGGATTGAGGCTAACACTAAACTGAAACAGCTGACAAGGATTCCATGCTGCACAAACAAACCTCCCATGTGGGAAAGAGAACAAGAGGGGACCTACAGAGGAATAAAGGGAAGTCAGAGAAACTGGAATGTGAAAAGAGCAAAGCTGAAGACAAAAGAGGAACCCTTTCCTTTGGAATGAGGGCAAACCAAGGAGGACATGATTTCATGAGGCAAACCTGCAATTTGATTCATCTCCATGTTTACTGAGTTGGACTAACACCATCACCACTACCACCACCACCACCATCCTGTCCACAAGTCAGTCAGTCTCTCTCTCTCTCTCTCTCTCTCTCTCTCTCTCTCTCTCTCTCTCTCTCTCTCTCTCTCTCTCTCTCTCTGTGTGTGTGTGTGTGTGGTGTGTGTGTGTCTGTCTGTCTGTCTGTCTGTCTCTCTCTCTGTATCTCTCTCTCTCTCTCTCTCTCTCTCTCTCTCTCTCTCTCTGTGTGT